TCTACCGGCCCCTCCCACTCGCTTTCATTAAATGTTTGGCTTCACGCTATAGCGGCAAGAACCCTTGCCAAACAAACCGGGAATCTACACCCAGAGGGCAATTTAAAAGATAAATTGCGAGGCCGGGCGCGGTGGCTCAAGCCTGTAATCCCAGCACTTTGGGAGGCCGAGGCGGGTGGATCACAAGGTAAACAGATCAAGACCATCCTGGTCAACATGGTGAAACCCCGTCTCTACTAAAAATACAAAAAATTAGCTGGGCATGGTGGCGCGTGCCTGTAGTCCCAGCTACTCAGGAGGCTGAGGCAGGAGAATTGCCTGAACCCAGGAGGCGGAGGTTGCGGTGAGCCGAGATCGCGCCATTGCACTCCAGCCTGGGTAACAAGAGCGAAACTCCGTCTCAAAAAAAAAGAATACACTAAAAAAGATAAGTTGCGGCCGAGCGCGGTGGTTCCCACCTGTAATCCTGGCACTTTGGGAGGCCGAGGTGTGTGGATCACCTGAGGTCAGGAGTTCGAGACCAGCCTGCCCAATATGGTGAAGCCCTGTGTCTACTAAAAATACAAAAATTAGGTGTGGTGGCTTGCACCTGTAGTCCCAGCTACTCGGGAGGCTGAGACAGGAGAATTGCTTGAACACGGGAGGCAGAGGTTGCAGTGAGCTGAGATGGCACCATTGCACGCCAGCCTGGGTGACAGAGCGAGACTCCGTCTCAAAAACCAACAAAAAAAAATGAAGTTACTAGAGATTCCCCAGGAGAAATGGCTACTTGACTGTTCTTTCCTTCTAGTCTCTGGATATTGCAGTGTTCCTTGGATGTCCTCATTTCTGAACAAGGATGTTCCGCGGCAGCTTCCCACCTAAAAGTGCAGAATTCTTGTTTCCAAGGAATGCCCTCAGGCAGTTTGAGTTCTGTATAGACCTCTGCTCTGCAGATGAATTCACTGATTGAAGCCCTATCTAGGAGTTCCTCCACCTAACTCCTCTCCCTCCTTTCTCCAGTACAAATTCTCAAATTCATGGTCCTCTCTGAAAAAGAAGTTATGAAGTTCTCTACTTGCATTCTTGATATCTGCCCTACCTGCCCCTCTGGGGTTTTGTTTCATTAACTATAACTTCTCTGGCTCTTAAATCGACTTCTTAAATCTGGGCCTCTAATTTAACAGGCAATGTGGTGGCATGAGTGTGTAATTGTGGAGAACATGGTCACTGTCATGCAACTAATTGCTTTGTACATAAAGATTCCTTCTCTTCATTTGAATCATTTAAGATTAACTCCCAGAAATAAAAGTGTTGGGTCAAAAAGTAAAATATTTTTTGTGATTTTTTTTTTTTTTTTGGTCTGTTTTGAGATGGAGTTTTGCTCTTGTTGCCCAGGCTGGAGTCCAGTGGCACGATCTCAGCTCACTGCAACCTCCGCCTTTCAGGGTTCAAGCGATTCTCTTCCCTCAGCCTCCCGAGTAGCTGGGATTACAGGTATATGCCACCAAGCCCGGCTAATTTTGTATTTTTAGTAGAGACAGGGTTTTTCCATCTGGTCAGGCTGGTCTCGAACTCCGGACCTCAGGTGATCCACCCACCTTGGCTTCCCAAAGTGCTGGGATTACAGGTGTGAGCCACTGTGCCTGGCTTTTTTTTTTCTTTTTTTTGAGACAGTCTCGCACTGTCTCCCGGGCTGCAGTGCGGTCGTCCCCTCTCAGCTCACTGCAACCTCCACCTCCCGGGTTTACCAGATTCCCCTGCATCAGCCTCCTGAGTAGCTGGGATTATAGGCACCTGCCACCTGGCTAATTTTTTGTATTTTTAGTTAAGACAGGATTTCACTGTGTCAGCCAGACTGGTCTCGAGCTCCTGACCTCGTGATCTGCCTACCTTGGCCTCCCAAAGTGCTGGGATTACAGGCGTGAGCCACCGCACCAGGACTTTTTTTTTTTATATATATAGAGTCTCCTTCTGTCACCCAGCCTGGAATGCAATGGTGTGATCTTGGCTTACTGCAACCTCCACCTCCCAGCCAAAAAATTTTAAATACAAAAATTAGCCAGTCATGGTGATACACACCTGTAGTCCCAGCTACTACGGAGGCTGAGATGGGAGGATGGCTTGAGCCTGGGATGCAGAGGTTACAGTGAGCGTGCCGCTGCACTCCAGCCTGGGCAATAGAGCCAAACCTTGTCTCAAAAAAAAAAAAATTCACTCATGTATACAAAGATATTTATACACAGATGCTTGTTGCTTATAATTTCAAAACTGGAAATTATTCAGATATCTATCAATTAGCAGTTATTTAAAAGGATGACAAGGAAAGATGCCTAAAATATGTTTACAAATCAAATTATAGAACAATACATTGTCCCATTTTTTGCTTAAAAAATGCTGCTCTTATATATTATGTATAATTTCTTTTTCTTTCTTTCCTTTTTTTTTTTTTTTTTTTTTTGAGACAAGTCTCCCTGTTGCCCAGGCTGGAGTGCAGTGGTGCAATCTCATCTCACTGCAATCTCCACCTCCGGGGTTCAAGTGATTTTCCTGGCTCAGCCTCCCGAGTAGCTGGGATTACAGGCATGCACACCATGTCTGGCGCCTGTAATCCCAACTACATATATCATACAGAATATACAGAATAGTTTCAAAACCCTAAAAAGCCTCCTGTGCTTCCCTTTTATTTTTGGGGGGATGGAGTCTCACAGTCTGGCTCTGTCAGCCAGGTTAGAGTGCAGTGGTGCAGTCTCAGCTTACTGCAGCCGCTGCCTCCCAGGTTCAGGTGAATCTCCTGCCTCAGCCTCCTGAGTAGCTGGGACTACAGGCCCACACAACCATGCCAGGCTAATTTTTTTTTTTTTTTTTTTTTGAGACATAGTTTCATTCATTCACCCATGCTGGAGTGCAATGGCTCGATCTTGGCTCACTGCAACCTCCACCTCCAGGTTCAAGCGATTCTCCTGCCTCAGCCTTCTGAGTAGCTGGGATTACAGGCATGTGCCACCAAGCCCAGCTAATTTTTGTATTTTTAGTAAAGATGGAGTTTCACCATGGAGGTCAGGCTGGTCTCGAACTCCTGACCTCAGGTGATCCACCTGCCTTGGCCTTCCAAAGTGCTTAGATTATAGGCATGAGCCACCGTGCCCGGACAATTTTTGTATTTTTAGTAGAGACAGATTTCACCATGTTGGCCAGACTGGTCTCAAACTCTTGGCCTTAAGCCATCTGCCCACCTCAGCCTCCTAAAGTGCTGGGATTACAGGCGTGAGCCACCCCATCTGGACTGGTTTACTCATTCAACCCTCTTTTTCTCCCCACAAATACCTGTCAACCACTGATTTTTCTTTTTTCTTTTTCTTTTTGGTTTATGTTTGTTCTTGGTTTTGGTTTTTATTTTGAGACAGGGTCTCCTCCTGTTGCCTAAACTGGAGTATAGTGGCATGATCATGGCTCACTGCAGCCTCAACCCACCCCTGCTCAGGTGATCCTCCCACCTCAGCCTCCCAAGTAGCTGGACAACTACTGATTTTTTTTAATTTTTACTATCTCTACTTTTCTTTTACACAATGTGATATGATTGGAATTATACAGTATGTAACCTTTACAGGCTGCCTTCTTTCACATAGCAGTACACACTTTTTTTTCTTTTGAGACACAGTCCCACTTTGTCACTCAGGCTGCAGTGTAGTGGCACCATCTTGCCTCACTGCAACATCCTGGTTCAAGTGATTCTTGTGCCTCAGCCTCCCAAGTAGCTGGGATTACAGGCATATACCGCCACCCCTGGCTTATTTTTGTATTTTTAGTAGAGACAGGGTTTCACCATGTTGGCCAGGTTGGTCTCCAACTCCTGACCTCAAGTGATCCGCCCTCCTTGGCCTCCCAAAGTGCTGGGATTATAGGCGTGAACCACCACGCCCACCTGCAATACACATTTCAGGAGGTTCATGCATGCATGTCTTTTCCTGGCTTTATAGCTCATTTCTTTTCACCTCTGAATACTGTTCCATTATATAGATGTAACCGTTTGTTCATTTACTTCTGGAAAGACACCTTGGTTGCTTCTGGTTTTGGGTGATTATAATAAAGCTTCTACAAACATTCATGTACAGGTCAGACTTTGTATCATGGCTTAATTTTTTATTTTAGATAGAATATTCAAAAAACATAATAAAATATTAAACAAATAAATATAACAAATATAAGAATAAATCTTCAAAATTAAAATTAAAATGATATGGTGGTCCATTATAATTGATTAATCCTTTTTTTTCTTTTTTTTTTTTTTTTTTTTGAGACAGAGTCTCACTCTGTCGCCCAGGCTGGAGTGCACTGGTGTGATTTCGGCTCACTGCAACCTCCGCCTCCCAAGTTCAAGCGATTCTCCTGCCTCAGTCTCCTGAGTAGCTGGGATTACAGGCGCACACCACCGTACCCAGCTAATTTTTTGTGCATCTTTTAGTAGAGATGAGGTTTCACCATGTTGGGCAGCCTGGTCTTGAACTTCTGATTGCAGGTGATTCACTCGCCTTGGCCTCCCAAAGTGCTGGGATTACAGGCATGAGCCAGCACATAAACACACAAATTCTGATAAATTCTATTTTACTCAATTTCTATCCAAAAAAAAAAAAAGGTATGATACATTTGTAATGCTGCATTATTAGGAGACCACTTTGTTTCTGGTCTGGTGTTTTTTTCTTTTCTATTTTTATTCTTTTTTTGTAGGGGAGTGAGGGAAGACAACTTTTTAAGTAGACCAATAAAAATGAAATCCTGGCCAGGCATGGTGGCTCATACCTGTAATCCCAACAGTTTGCTTGCTTGAGAGTTTGAGACCCCAGCCTGACCAACTTAGTGAAACCCCATCTCCACTAAAAACACAAAAATTAGCTGGGTGTAAGAGCGCAAGCCTGTAATCCCAGCACATAGGAGGCTGCGGCAGGAGAATCGCTTGAACCTGGGAGGCGGAGGTTGCAGTGAGCAGACATTGCACCATTACACTCCAGCCTGGTTGGCAAGAGCAAGATTTCATCTCAAAAAAATCCCAAAATTCTTATTTTATAATTTTTGTACATGTGATAAGTAGAAGAATTATCTATAAGCCAGCTTTGGCCCCTATACATTTCGAACTTTGTTTTTCTTCTGTTAGTAACATACTTCAGTGTTGGGCAGCATAAAACATGCTCTTATTAACCTACGGCCCTGTATTTTCATATCACATAACCAGTTTAGTGAGGACTGTGGGCAGCAGATTTCCTGGAAGGCAACCTTATATCAGAAAAGCTGGCAATGACCTAAGCAGTAACACCCTGAAGCAGAAGGAGCCTCCACCCTGGTGCCTCAGATTTAGAGGGCTCAGCTCTTACTTCTGGCCACATCACCCCACAAAAGGCAAGAATTTCATGAGGCCAAATGGGCATGCTGTATGAGAGTCTACAGCTGCCTTATAGACTACATATTCTGGGCACTCAAAACTCAGAAATTTCCTGATCATTTTTAGGCTGGGATGGCCTGATCTGTCTCCTCAAGTGTGGGCAGCATTGCTAGTATGTGTACCCTTAAACTGAAGGAGTGGACAACAGGTAGCTGTTGGCAAGATATGTGAACAGAGCTTAGACATGCAGCCTGGCGTGTCCATGTATGTAACTGTGAAGTCCTCAGAGTGTGGAATATAGCTGGTAATGGAAAGAGATTGGGTGAGCTGTGGGTCAGCTTTCCTATATACATTCTGGTAAGGAGCTCCAAAGAATCTGAAAACTCCAGATTCAGACCTGTTCTCCTTGTCAAGGTAGGTGATAGAATGTATTTTACGCAATAGTTTGTTGGCTTGATTTTTTTTTTTTTTTTTTTTTTTGAGACGGAGTTTCACTCATGTTACCCAGGCTGGAGTGCAATGGCGCGATCTCGGCTCACTGCAACCTCCGCCTCCTGGGTTCAGGCAATTCTCCTGCCTCAACCTCCTGAGTAGCTGGGATTACAGGCACGCACCACCATGCCCAGCTAATTTTTTGTATTTTTAGTAGAGACAGGGTTTCACCATGTTGACCAGGATGGTCTCGATCTCTTGACCTCGTGATCCACCCGCCTCGGCCTCCCAAAGTGCTGGGATTACAGGCTTGAGCCACCGCGCCCGGCCTGGCTTGATTTTTAACATTTAAATATTTAGGCATACGATAAATGGGATTTCAATTATATGCATATATTTTTGTATTTTTAACTTTTGTGGGTACACAGTAGGTGTATATATTTACAGAGTCCATGAGATATTTTGATACAGGCATGTGATGCATAATAATCACATCAGGGGGCCGGGCGCAGTGGCTCATGCCTGTAATCCCAGCACTTTGGGAGGCCAAGGCAGGCAGATCACGAGGTCAAGAGATCCAGACCATCCTGGCCAACTTGGTGAAAATCTGTCTCTACTAAAAATACAAATATTGGCTGGACATGGTGGTGTGCGCCTGTTATCCCAGCTACTCGGGAGGCTGAGGCAGGAGGATCACTTGAATCTGGGAGGCGGAGGTTGCAGTGAGCTGAGATTGCACCACTGTACTCTAGCCCAGGTGACAGAGAGAGACTCAGTCTTAAAAAAAAAAAGAAAAAAGAAAAGATCATGCCACTGCACTCCAACCTGGGAGACAGAGAGACTCAGTCTTAAAAAAAAAAAAAAAAAAAAAAGAAATATTTTTTTTTCAGACGGAAAAAAATTATTTTTAACTATAGGCATCCTGTTGTGCTAGCAAATACTAGGTCTTATTTATTCTTTCAGGCTATTTTAATAACCCCATTAATACTTTTGCCCCAGGCTGATAATTCATTTGGGGGTGAGGAGGATATCCCTCTTATTATTCCATCGAGTGATGGAGACACCTGGATTAATATTAGAACTACTTAGATTCCTGGAGATGCTTTAACCTAGGTGCAAGCTCAACCCTGGCCAAAGCTACATTGGTTTATGGGATTGAAATAGAGCAGTGGGCTCTTCACTCTGAGTGAATCCCTTTCCTCAGCACCTCCCAGGACTAAAGGTCTTTACTCGCGGCTACAAGAAGAGTGTCCCATCGTTGCTAACCACAAAGATCACCACACATATGACCAAACGTTTTTCGGTGGGCAATGCAGGGCTATTTTCTACATCGGGCTTCTGATCAAGGTCAAGGGAGGCAGGTCTTGAACTTCTAGGTTCTATTTTCTTATTTAGTATAGTAGTTAAGAGAGACACACTATGGCCAAAGAAGCCTTTACTTTGGCTCTGTCTCTCACATAAGACATGTTTGGCATATGCACTCATGTTTTCATATTTCTCTGCAGCCTGTGAAGCCCCATGCACCAAATCCCTGGTTACAAAGTTTAGTCCCAGGCCTAACCACACGAAGCAGAGTTCGTTCAGCACTTGTCAAAGATCTACACACCTCCCGGGAGAAAAGGATTGCTGTGGGACCATTTAGATCTAACAACCCAACTCTTTAGCTGGGTAAATACTCAGAGAGAAGATTCTACCATCATGTCTTCTCCCTCTGGAAAGAAAGGTACTCATCTCTAAGCTGAACACTTCTCTTACTTCAAGATTCAGGAAGCAGTGGACCTGGTCACAGTGGGTCTTTTTAATTGACACTGTACAATCTTGTTGTCACTATGTTTATAATGAAAAATTATTTAACGGTAGACCTCATGTCTTAATGCACACTATTTTCACAGAAGGTTAAAGAAAATTGACATCACATGAGATGCGTTAGATGACAGAGAATATTTTTCCACACGCCAGAAAGATCATGTACTAAATATGGATCAGAGTTCCAAATCTTTCTAGAGCAGTAATATTGAAGGACCCAGCATCTTTTGCAAATGGTATAAATTGCCCTCTGAAACCCAAATTAGGGTCAGGTGCCCTGGCTTATTCCTGTAATCCCAGCACTTTGGGAGGTCAAGGTGGGTTGATCACGTGAGGTCAGGAATTCAAGACCAGCCTGGCCAACATGATTAAACTTTGTCACTACGAAAAATACCAAAAAAAAAAAAAAAAAAATGGCCAGGCGTGGTGGTTTACGCCTGTAATCCCAGCATTTTGGGAGGCAAAGGTGGGTGGATCACTTGAGGTCAGGAGTTTGAGACCAGCCTGGCTAACATGGCAAAACCCCGTCTCAAAAAAAAAAAAGTAGCTGAGTGTGGTGGCACACATCTGTAATCCCAGATAATAGGGAGGCTGAGACAGGAGACTTGCTTGAACCCAGGAGGTAGAGATGGAAGAGAGCTGAGATCACGCCACAGCCCTCCAGCCTGGATTACAGAGTGAGACTCTGTCTCAAAAAATAATAAAATAGCTGAGCCCAGTGGCTCATGCCTGTGATCCCAGCACTTTGAGAGGCTGAGGCAGGTGGATCACATGAGGTCGGGAGTTCAAGACCAGCCTCACCAACATGGAGAAACCCTGTCTCTACTAAAAATACAAAATTAGCTGGGCATGGTGGCACATGCCTGTAATCCCAGCTATTTGGGAGGCTGAGGCAGGAGAATTGCTTGAACCCAGGAGGCAGAGGTTGCAGTGAGCCAAGATTATGCCATTGCACTCCAGCATGGGCAACAAGAGCGCAACTCTGTCTCAAAAAAATAATAATAACAAAAATAAAATGAAGCCCAAATTAGAATCCCATTTGTCTAGGAAAGAAACAGCTTAGGTGACTTTTTAAATCTACAAGTCTAGTCTTGTTCTAGATTAGGTTCTTTAGCTGCAGCCCACAGAGCAGTATGAAGGACTATGACAAAAAAACCAAGCCAGTGTAATCATTTCCCCCTTTGTACTGCGTGGGTGGGTGGGAATGCATTTCTATCCCTCAGAAACAACTCCACAGTTTCACAAGGCCAATTAGCAATTCTCATGAGCCTCAACATACTTAATATTTGAAATACTCAGGCATCATAGAACAGCTGCAAACTGAATCTGCATCATAAGATGGAATTCTGTAAGAGCACATGATACCCAAAAATTGCTATGGATGAGGAAGGACCCAGATTTCCAAGTAGTGTGAATCCAACCTCCTTTTCTAAATACTGATTGCTGTTTACACCCTAAAATGTTTGAGACCTTCATTAATGAAAATAAAAACCACGTGAGCCTCTCCCCTTTTTTCTTCCCCTAATCACATCCTCTTTTCCCGTGGCACTGTTATTGTCAAAAATATAAAAAGCAAGCCTGGGCACAGCGGCTCACACCTGTAATCCCAACATTTTGGGAGGTCGAGGCAGCCGGATCACCTGAGGTCAGGATTTCAAGACCAGCCTGGCCAACATAGTGAAACCTTGTTTCTAATAAAAATACAAAAATTAGCCAGGCATGGTGGCAGATACCTGTAATCCCAACTACTCAGGAGGCTGAGGCAGGAGAATTGCTTGAACCCTGGAGGCGGAGGTTGCAGTGAGCCAAGATCCCACCAGTGCACTCCAGCCTGGGCGACAGAGCGAGACTCTATCTCAAAATAAATAAATAAATATAAAAAGCAATATTTTCTCCTATGAATTCCTAGCTGCTGTGAAACGTGGTGGGGGAATCTTTGGGGATACGAGTTAACTTTGTAACAGAGACTCTTCCCTTTCCTTGACTCATGTAACCCATGGAATGTGTATTACTTTATACTTTCGCTCTAAGTGAAATACTAATCTAAAAAGCACTATCACATGGATCAAAGTTACCTCTGCATCTAACCTGAGGATTCTGGGATCTGGCTACTATGAGACATTCAAGACAATGAATAATTCTGTACGAGTACTTTCTCAGCCCCTCTATCTTTGAATTTGTTGTTTCATAGTGAAAGGACTTTATTGTGCACTCTTTGCTTTGCTGGCAAGAGCAAAAGAGCTGAACTGAACCCTTCAGTCAGTCAGCCAGCAAGACCATACAGAGGGTCTATTAGGCCATCTGCACTGTGGGAGACGGAGCAGCAGCAGAAGAAATGGCCCTTGTCCTCGAGGAGTTTACAAGGGGTTTTAGAAGACAGACACACAAGAACATTTCAAAGACAATATGCTTAATTTAGTGAGAATTGTGTGGTACACAGCAGATGTGCTGTAGGAGTTCAGGGAAGGGGGCAGAAGTCGTCATGGAGACATGGGAATTTGCGCTGGATCTGAGCCGGCAGAAGATTTAGGCAGGGAGGAGTAGGGAGGATCTTCCAGGTAAGGGAAAGGATGGGAGAAAAGGCTGGGGGAAGGAAGGAGCTCAGCAGGGGTCCATGCCAGCTCCTTTCCCCTCTCCTGTTTCCATAGTGGTTCCCAAGTTTCTTCACAACAGAGAAGCAGGTATCTACTCTCCTTACCATCGTGGTTTTGTTTTTTTGTGTGTGTCTGTTTTTTCTTTTTTTTTTTTTTAAGACAGGGTCTCACTCTGTTGCCCATGCTGAAGTATAGTGATGAGATCTCGGTTCACTGCAACCCTCCCACCTCAGCCTACTCAGTAGCTGGGACCACAGGCATGCACCACAGGACCTGGCTAATTTTTATATTTTCTGAAGAGATGGGGTCTCGCTATATTGCCCAGGCCAGTCTCAAACTCCTAGTCTCACTGTCGTCCAGGCTGAAGTGTGGTGGCATGATCTCAGCTCACTGCAATCTCTGCCTACCAGGTTCAAGCAATTCTCCTGCCTTGGCCTCCCCAGTTTACAGCCTCTAGGATTATAGGTGTGCATCACCATGCCCAGCTAATTTTTTGTATTTTTAGTAGAGATGGGGTTTCACCATGATGGCCAACCTGATTTTAAACTCCTGACCTCAAGTGATCTGCCCGCCTCGGGCTCCCAAAGTGCTGGGATTACAGGCATGAACCTCCATGCCCGGCCTTTCCATCATTTCTTGATGGGCTATATTGTCACCAAACATTTACCAAAAACATATATTAGTACATATATTAGTAGCCACCATGAACATGTCAGCAAATATAACGTGGTTTTTCTGACCTTGTGGATTTGTTGTCTAATTGGATAAAATGGGCTTTTTTGTTGTTGTTGGAGGCAGCAGCACAGCCTTTCAGAGGTCAAGAGTAAGGTGGTTACTCTTTTTTGAGACTCCAGCTATATTTTTTTAAATGAACTATGAAAGCTGAGTTTTAAAAAGTTTTGGTAGATTTTTAATGTGTATGCTTAAGGTTTCTTTTTTTTTGAGACAGTGTCTTATGTCGCCCAGGCTGGAGTGTAGTGGCACAATCTCAGCTCACTGCAACCTCTGCCTCCCAGGTGCAGGTGATTCTCCTTCCTCAGCCTCCTGAGTAGCTGGGATTACAGGTGCACACCACTACGCCCAGCTAATTTTTGTATTTTTAGTGTAGACGGGGTTTTACCGTGTTGGTCAGGCTGGTGTCAAACTCCCGACCTCAAGTGATCCACTTGCCTTGGACTCCCAAAGTGCTAGGATTACAGGCATATGAGCCATAACACCTGGACCAAGTTATTTTATTTATTTATTTATTTATTTATTTTGAGATGGAGTCTCACTCTGTCGTCCAGGCTGGAGTGCAGTGGCACCATCTCAGCTCCCTGCTGCCTTTACCTCCCGGGTTCAAGCAATTCTCCTGCCTCAGCCTCCCAAGTAGCTGAGATTATAGGTGTGTGCCACATGCCCAGCTAATTTTTGTATTTTGGTAGAGACAGGGTTTCACCATGTTGACCAGACTGGTTTTGGACTCCTCACCTCAGGGGATCCACCCGCCTCAGCCTCCCAAAATATGGGGATTACAGGCATGAGCCACAACGCCTAACCCAAGTTATTTTTTAACACAAAAAATCACAATGCGTTTATTTTGAAATAATGTAAAATATAGAGAGATTGACATGAATGTTCATAGCAACATAGGGAGACCCCCAACTCTACAAAACATAAAAAATACCAGCCTGAGCAACATGACAAAACTCCATCTCTTCAAAAAATACAAAGATACCTGGGCATGGTGGCATGTGTATCTGGTCCCAGCTGAGCCCAGGAGTTCAAGGCTGCAGTGAGCTGTGATCCTGCCACTGCATTCCAGCCTAGGCAACAAAGCGACATCCTTTCTCAGAAAAAAAGAATATATAGAGAGGATCAGGCAGTTAGTGCCTTCATCAGACCACACTATCCCATCAACACCAAACCGTTGTTTGGAGTGCTTCAGCTCACAGCACCATGCAATTCCCTAAGGCTTCTGAGTTTGAGACTCCCCCAGGCAGGCGCTAAGTGGAGCACATCAGACCTCCAAAAGCCTCTGCAAAAACAATGTGGTATTGCGGGAAAATAGTAGACGTAAGTTCAAATTACCTACTGCTAATAATAAATGTGTGACTTTGTGCAAATTACTTTATCCTTCTGAGTTTTACTTTCATCATTTGTAAAATGAAAAGAATATCTCATGGGTCTCTTGCATGTGGTTCCCAACCAGGTTGCATGTTAAAATTGCGGTTTAAAAATGTCACAGCCTTAATCACACCTCCTGCAAGTTAAATTGACATCTCCGAGGGTGAGATCCAGACATCGATAGATTTTTAAAGCTTCACAGGTCATTCCAATATGCATCTAGTGTTGAAAATCACTGGTGAGAATTAAATAATGTTACTGTACTTAAGCAAATCAGGTGCCCTGTTAGTTCCTAGTCATTCCCCAATTTAAATTTCAAATCAGCAGTGCTTTTAGTGTGTGTTCTAAA